GGGGGGGGGGGTACTCGCAGAAGAATTGGGTAGGGGTGTGCGGCCCGCTTCCCAAAACCCTTACCCTATTTATGACCAAAATCTGCGATTTTCCCTACCCTATTTATGACCTAACCAAAAATTTGATACCCTATTTATGACCTTATTTATGGCTTTTGTTGCTTGTATTTTCTAGCCTACAAAGCAGCCGGTGGAGAGGAAGGCAAAGCGCGGATGGAAGGAGGGGGACATGATAAGGAAGTAGCTTTTTCTACAAAAGTGCATTCAAGACTACAGTGCAAAAATCGTTATCTTATTTATGACCAAAATGGCGGCAAAATAGCCAAAATCGATACCCAATTTATGACCAAAACGGCTGAAAAACCCTACCCTTTGGGGCCGCACATACCTATATGGCCCATATTAGGGAGGACCCCCCCCCCCCGGGCATTTACCGCCGAACCGGAAATTCCGGAAATTTTGACTAAATGGAAAGCGCCCAAAGTCTCACTTCTCTGAGTTTGTCTAGGCCTCAAAAACTTTCTCGGACCACGTGACCCGAAACGCATCGGCCGCGCATAATAGTGAGGCCGAGGGACTAGGCAAGAATGATGTGATTAAACCAAAGAAAGGGAGTCAGACAGTTATTTGATGTCTCGTGTTGGTATCTTAGCGTTTACGGAATCGAACAACGAGTGATGGAAGTGATTAGACTACGGTTGCCTGATGTTGACGGACACGAATACATGGACGTCCAGGTTAGTAAGGCGGGAGAAAAATATTATATAATGGGTGTTTCTAAAACGAAGACCTAAGACCTAAGACCCTGTGGACTAAAACGAAGACCCTTGGACTAAAACGAAGACCCTCTGGACTAAAACGAGACCCTCTGGACTAAAACGAAGACCCCCTGGACTAAAACGAAGACCCCTTGGACTAAAACGAAGACCGCTTGGACTAAAATGAAGACCCCCGGTGTGGATTAAACTCTTACGGCGATTTAGGAGTGGTGTAGAATTTCCTCTGCGCTGTTTAATTGTGATAATGAAGTCTATCACTCACCTTTTCTTCGATCGACGGCTAAGAAAATATAACCGCGTTCTCTAGCGTTCTAAAATGTCGAACAGTAATTTTGTATCGATCAATACATTTACAAAAGAAAATAACCGACGTAGGGAGGAAATAACAACGAGACAATTAACATTGATGAATTCAAGGAGAAGGCAACCTCGCGCTCTTTTTATTACTTTTTACCTCATCAATAGAAAAAAAAGCCGTCAATCGAGAACATCACTCGAGTAAAGGTGTACATTTCGAGTTTCATGTAAGTAAGGTTCATTTGTATATATGCCGGGTTATATTTATGTCCCTGTTACTTTATTCTGACCTCTACTGTAAAAAAAAATGACTCATCTTTTAGAGCTCAACAGTTGTTATAATGATAACTGTGGTAAAAAATAAAAGAAAAAAAAAGGAAAGGAAAAAAATACATCAGCTCGGCAAGATTCGAACCCAGGACACTGCACTTTCGTCGTGTCCACAGTCGTTACCAACAGGCTACGAAGGATTCCTCGAACAGATGATGTGAGAATGTTTCTTTAAACAAAACTGAGGTCATCATCACCGTAAACACATGTGACATCCAAAGTGATTTAACACTCGAAATATGTTCAAAGAAACTTGTAAAATGACACATGCAAACCAGGGGCGTAGCCAGTATTTTTCAAAGGGGGGGGGGGGGTCATCATCTGGGGATCGACGACTATATATGGTTTATACCGCTGCTCTCCCTCGTGTATCAGCGGGCTCAGACGTATTATCGCGGCATGAAGGCCCCGTTGACTAAAATACTTTACAAAAAAACAAATTTAAAAAAGGGGGCTTTTCAACAATGGCTTTTACGGCCAAGATATTGTCATGGCGTTTTCGCCACCTGAATATTGTAGGTTGTTTGCTCAAAAGAAGGCCTACCAAGGGGGGGTCACGGGCACCCCAGGACCCCCCCCC